ATGCCTTAAGAATTATAAAAGTCTAAATTATCATCACTGCAGATTCAAAGATAAATATATTTTACTGTATCTCAAGATTTGGAAATTGGCAATCTCTTACTTTTTTTAATTCAAAGAATATTTATTGAGCCCCTGCTTTTCCAGATACTATGCTAGGTGCCCAGGATAAGGTGATGAACAAGACAGACATAGTCTCTGCCTTCAAGGAACATAAGGTTGACTGGAGGCAATAAACATATGTACTGTGTTTATTAACGTATGTCCAGACAAAATAGTCTGAGCTGGAGAATAATGGGGTGAGGATACTTCTTTGTCAGGTAAGGGCTTTTCCACACAGTAACATTTACATTGAGAGATGTAGGATGAACAGGACCCAGCATTATCCAGGTTGAGGTAATAGCATGCACAAAAGCCCTGAGTTTGGAAAGAGCAAGGGAATTTGAGGACTAGGTCATCAGTGAAGAGAACAGTACCAAATGAGGCTGGAGAGGGGGTAGGGGCTAGTTTAGTCAGGGCTTCTAGGCCATAGAAAGGCTTTTGGATTACATATGAAGTACAATGGGAAACCATGAAAGGGTAAAAGCAGGGGAGTGCCATGATTCACCTTTTATTTTAAGAAAAGCTCTCTAGGGCACCTGGGTGGGTCAGTCGGTTAAGTGTCTGCTTTCGGCTCAAATCATGATTCCAGGGTCCTGGGATAGAGCCCCACATCAGGCTCCCTGCTCAGTGGGGAGTCTGCTTTGCCCTCTGCCCCTCCTCCCCCAACTCATCCACTCGTGCAGGCATGCGCTCTCTCTCTCTCAAAAAAAAAAAATTCTTTTTTTTTTTAAAGAAAAGCTCTCTAGTGCCCAGTTAGGAAGCTGTTGAGGAGTCTAAACCAGGGTAACCTGAACTACGATTACAGCAGAGGAATGGAGGGCAGGTAACACTGATATGACTTGCTGACTGGATGTGGGGGATGGTGATGAGGAAGACAGGAACATCAGTGTGATGCTTGAGTTCCTGGTTTGAGCATTTTGGTGGGTGCTAACTGAGACTGGGAAGAGCATGAGAGGAGTACATTGTGGTTGGGAATCAGGCATTTAATTTGGACATAATAAGTTACAGGTGTCTGTGCAACATCTAAGAGGGAATATAGAATAGACAGCTGGCTACACAATCTAATGTTCAGAGAAGATTGGACTGGGCATACAAATTTTAGAATTATCTGACAGATACGTTCAAAGCGAAGAGAATGGTGAGATCACCTAAGGAGACCTTATAAAGAGTTGGGCAAGGAGGGCTCACAGATCCCAGGATTAAGAAATCAGGTAGAAACAAGATTTGAGAAGGGATTTAGAAGGAAATCCCAGAGAGTGTGAGGGCGGGGAGGCCAATGAGAGTGAGGATTTCAAGGAGGGAGTGGTCAGCTATTGGAAATACCACCAAAAGTTGAATTAGATGGGGAGAGAAAAGGATTCTTCTTTCAAGTTCTTGCTGAACTTGGTGAGAGACATTTCAATGGAGGGTGGAATGACAATACATCAGTAACTAGGACATTTGGTCAACTATCCATAATATCTTCTTCAAACATTTTGCATAAATGAGATTGAAGCTAGGTGCTATCAATCTCTAAGTGGCTCAAGGAAACAGTTGGGAGACCTCAAGATTGAGTTAATATGCTTATGGTTGTATAGCTCTCTGGTTCTTTGTTGCTATAACAGGGACCAAAGCTTCAACGAACATAAATTTCTAGGATGCTTCGGCATTTCCTCATTGTCCAAATATCAATGTCAACCTCAGGCTTAGGAGATAAATATAACTACATTTTTATTTATTATTATTTGTGAATATGTAGAGCAAACAATTATAATAGCAGGTAATTTTTATGAATACTTAATATGTTCAAGGATCTTTACTATGCTTTTCCCAGGTGTTAAATAATTTATTGCTAGTGTTATTATCAGTTTTCAGGTAAATAAATGAAGGCTTAGTGAAATTACATAACTTGTTCATAAGTGACAAAGTCCGGACATGAAACCATGATTTCCACCACTATATTACACTGCTAAGTTATCAACTCTAAATAAGAGTTGCTTCGGAAAAATGTCTCTTCATGTCTTCTGCCCATTTTTTTAACTCCATTTTTTTGTTTTCTTGGTGTTGAGCTGTGTGAGTTCTTTATATATTTTGGATATTAACCCCTTATCAGATCTATCATTTCAAATATCCTCTCCCTTTCTGTAGGTTGCCTTTTTGTTTTGTTGATGGTTTCCTTTACTGTGCAAAAATTTTGTTGACAGTTTTGCATCTGTGTTCAAGAGAGATTTGCCTGTGATTTTCTTTTCTTGTAATATCATTGTCAAAAAAAAAAATCATTGTCGAGTATGGTGTAATAATTTTGCTGACTTAATGATTTACTCTCTTTGCCTATTCTCTGAAAATTTTTTTAAGTGAAAGTTCAGTGATAATTACTGCTTAAATATTTGGTAAAATTTTCTGATTTAATCCATCTGTACCTTAAGATTATTTGCATGGTAATTTTTTATTGAATGTTTAATGATTATAATAGTGTAAAACTTACTCTTTTTTTCTTGTTTATGTTTTAGTAATTGAAATCCCTTTAAGTAATAAAAATTTCTAGAAGATAAGAAATCGCTACTTAAAACTGCAAACAAAGGATCTCTTCAATAATTAGATTAATATTTGTGAGTTCATTTATTTGAAATAAAATTAATTGTTACTAGCTGATTGGAAATAATAGGATAAGTTTGCAAAGTCATATGAGGATTAGGGCTATATCTAGATGAAAGAGTTCAAAAGAAATAAGGCATAAAACCAGATGTTTGATATTTAGAATCGCACATACGATTTTAGTATTGCAGTTGCTGCTTTTAGCTATTCATCCAGAAATATCTAAAATCTTGAATTAATTTTAAAATGCTGATCTTAGGGTATTTTGCACATGCAGAATACCAAAGAGGATGGCCTTGGTTTTTTTCTAGAGTGTGTACTGACAACATTTAGACATTGGTATGATAGACTCTTTTATATTTGACTCTTGAGTAAACTTTGATAGCAAATAAATGATTCAATATTATTTGCATATTTAGAAGTCTTAGAATAGCTATTCCAATAATACTGCAATTGTTAAATACACTGAAGGAGCCATTATATTTTTACTTGCAATTTATTTCCATGTTTAGTTATTTCACTATAAAAATTAATTTAAGTAATATTTAAGTTTTCCATTATAGGGATTCTATTTACTAAATCTTTTATTGTAATACCTATAAAGTAGTAGTCTATATTTAGAAAGACAAATGATTATGGAGGGTAACACATTGTTAAATCTGATGCCAGTGGTAGGCTCAGGTGAGGTAGGCATGGCGTATATCCATTTTTCTCTTTGAACAGAAGGAAAGATTGCTTTTCACGTGTCTAGTAATCCCTCCAGTAGCAGTGATTGTTCCAGTAACAACATAGTTAAGTTTATAGAAAATGTAATATCAGTTGAGACAAAATATGTAACACTAATATTCAGAAGAGAAAATAGAATTGTGAATAATAAGATTATATTTTAAAAATATAAATCATTGTATATGACACCAAAAGAACAGGTTAGAAGAAAAATAGGTAAATTGGATGACATGCAAATAAAAAAACTGCAGCAAAGGACACAATCAAGAGAGTGAAGGGGTAACCCACAACACGGAAGAAAATATTTGCAAATCATGTCTGAAAAGGGGCAAATATCCAGAATATATAAAGAACTCCTAAAATTCAACAACAGAAAACCAGATTTAAAAATGGGGAAAGGATTTCAATAGATATTTCTCCAAAGAAGATATGCAAATGGATAATAAACATATGAAAAGATGTTCAACATCACTAATCCTTAGGGAAATGAAAATAAAAAACACAATGAGATACCATCTTGCACCCATTAGGATGGTTGCTATTAAAAATACTACTACTACTAATAATAATGTTGATGAGGATGTGGAGAATTTGGAATTGTTGTGCATTGTTGGTGGGAATATAAAATGGTGCAGCTGCTATGGCAAACAGTATGTTCATTACTCAGAAAATTCAAAATAGAATTTTCATATGATCCAGCAACTCCATTTCTGGGTATGTACCCTAAAGAATTAAAAGCAGGGACTTGAACAGGTATTTGTTCATTTGTGTTTATAGCAGCATTATTCACAATAGTCAAAAGCAACCCAAGTGTCCATCAACAGATGAATGGATAAACAAAACATAGTATATACATACAGTGCAATATTATTCAGCTTTAAAAAGGAAGGAAATTCTGACACATGCTACCACATGGATGAACCTTAGGGATATTATGCTAAGTGAAATAAAGTCACTAAAGGATAAATACTGTATGATTCCGCTCATATGAGGTACCTAGAGTAGTCAAATTCATAGAGACAGAAAGTAAAGTGGTGGTTTCCAGGAGTTGGGGGAGGGAGAAATGGGAAGTTAGTGTTTAATAGTTACAGAATCTCAGTTTTGCAAGATGAGAAGTTATGGATGGTAGTGATGATCACACAATAATATGAAGGTACTTAATGCCACTGAAAAAGATCGTAGATTTTATGTTAGGTGTGTTTTACCAGCATTTAGAAATATATATATATATATATATATATATATGTATATGTATATATATATATATATATACATATATATACACACACACACACGAATCATTTTAAGTGGTATAGCTTTAAAAAACACATGTTAGGAAGAGAAAATTTAAGGCATAAGAGGCTTTGTGGACACTGATAATTAGGAACTAATCAGAAAATATTTTTGGAGCTTTTTCATACACATTAAGGTATATATTGTGTTATTATGTATCATTACATATATAATCGTATATCCAATTATATAATTATATATATTGTAAAAATCTATTGTGTTCTCTTTGGTGATGAGGGTTTTCTAGAGATCATAATGAGAGGAACCGTATACAAGAAGCTCAGTTCCAATATTTTGTTTTGTTGCAGATCTGTGGCCACTTGTTCACATGGTTTCGAGGCACAATGAGGCATGCTGGCTCTTGGAAACTCTGGCTCTGGGTGGCAGTGCTTCTGCTTCCGGCTTCCATTTCCGTGACGGTCAGGGACAAGTCAGGTATCCAGACCGCCTCTTTTGTCCAGTCACTAAATGTTATTTATAGCCTTTTGGTTATTTTTAAAATCATTAAAATAAGTTGTTGGGGTTGAGGAGGCCATAGATGAAATCTACTAGTACAAAATAAATAATTCATTGTTTTTCCCCATTGACCTTTCATGTTGCACATTGAGAATTTCTAAAATTACCTCATTTTCCCCATATATATATATCAGTCTAAATAGACTTTCTTTTCTCTCATTGATGTTTATAAATATAAATTTGTGTGGATAATTCTCTGTTTGTATTTTTCTCCTTTCCCCCTCTGTTATAAGTTATTCAAATTAGAAGTACGTAAGTCTATTGCTAATTAGGTTTAACCAGGAACATACTTAATCTTAATTAGGGAAAAGCAAAAAACAGAATAGGAGATATAAAAAGAAATGTAGTTTAATTATATGTAAGTTCTATAGTATCTCAGATGAAATGAACAAAAGATTAACAGTTGTTAGAGCACTTTTTTGCACTAAATAGATAATATTTATTTGCAATTGTTAAATTATCAACTTCACAAATGTTTCCAAATGGCTTGAAGGCAGTTTGAAACATTTACTCTCACCTCTGATTTTTAAAAATGATTATGTGGCTAATTTGGAAAACTTCCCTTGAACTTTGAGTTGTAAATTACTGATCTAGATGTACTTCTAAGTCAAACTAGACACACTGGAGAAGACATTTGCTAAGCAAAGAGAAACTTCAACTCTCCTATGCAAAGGATCACATAAGATATGTTCTGATGATGGTCACATATGATGATGTATTCTGAAACTCTGAGTCTGATTGTGCTTATTCTTTTGAATATATCTTTAATAAGTTTTGCTAGGCAGGTATAAACAGCCTGGTAGAGACTTTTGAGTTTGAAGAACACATAGAATCAAAACAGTCTCTTATAAAGATATAACAAGTCTTAGTCTCTCAGCGTTATGTCTTTATGACTTTTATATTAATTTGGCAGGAGGTGCATTTCCTAATAATCCACGTGAAAGTTTGAATATTCTACCGCTGTATCAGTGATATCCTGAGGCTGTCATATTTTTGGGGGGAAACACTTTCTTTCTTCAGTGAGAAATAAATCAGAATTGACTCATGACAAAAGAAAGTCCATAGGTCAAGGAGAGTTCATTCTGATCATGTTGAGCTCTTAATTTCTTTATGTTTCCTCCTTTTAAGAACACTAGTAGGTAATGGGATTTGCAACTTACACAGAGAGGATAGGACTTCTTTGGTTAGAAAGGAAAATGAATCTTTGGTTGAGCAGGACACAGTTCCTAGGGACGTGCTAGTGTATAATAAATGTTCTTAATAATGTTTGAAGGATCTACAATAAATGTAATTCCAATTTTAGTTTGAGCAGAAATCATCTGGGGTATTGATTCCTAAATCCCACTCTGAGATTGTCATTATGCAGGATAGGCTGGGGTGGGATTCAGCAATTTACATTTTTAACAAGCTCCCCAGGTGAATCTAATGCAATGTGTCTGACGAAGACATTGGGAGAAACACTCACTTTTGGAATAATTAATTGACTTTTTTTTCTTCTTTTTTTCCTTTTCCTTCTTGGTTATCTTGCATCTTATGCTACCAGATTCCCTTTGTTTTATCTTATTTTATTTTATTTTATGTTATTTTTGCCTCTAGTAACTCTTTTGAAAAAAATTGTGGTAGGAACACTTAACGTTAGATCTCCCCTCTTAAGAAATATCTAAGTGTGTAATTCAGTATTGTTGACTATAGGCACAATGTTGCACAGCAGATCTCTAGAACTTAATCATCTTGTGTGACTAAAACTTCCCCATTTTGGGATTCCCCAGGATGTTTTGCTTTTGCAGCTTTGGTATTTCAATTCTTTAATCAGGTTATATTGTATGTAGGACTCCTGAAATGCATATATTCTGGTCCAATTAACTGTCCCAAATTGATCTTTCTAAAAGATTTTTCTAAGAAGTATGAATTCAAAATTAATCTGAACTCTAACAAGATTCACATAATATGAAGCACTGAGGGAAATTAATACAGACAAAAATGAAGAGTTGATTTTTATCAGGCCGTTTGAGAGAGTGTTCCTGAAGCAACACGTACTGAACGTGCCATGGAAATTGCTTAACTTCAGGTATCGTTCGCATTAATTGAAAATGTCAGCACAGCACTGCCAAGGGATTATTGAAGAATATGACACGCTGGGCATGGCCTGACAGGGAGCTCTTCTTGTGTCTTGTGTCTCTGATTCACAGTGCAAGGTTCCCTTTTTAGTTTCCTCATGTGCAGACCTGCGTGTGTGGTCACTAACCATTTACCGGAGGGAAGTGATTACATCTAAAAATAAGATATAACAAATCTGAGGGAGAGGCTAGGGTTTCAACTCTGGAGTCTGTGAAATTGTCAGCAGTCTACTGTTAAACCTAAATATACGAAGGATAAATTGAGCCTTCTAATTGCTTTATTTTAACTCTATGGTATGCTTAATGATACTTGGGATGTTGTTCCAGTTGGGACGGAATTCAAGAGTAATACGGAAAGATTCAATACAACTTGAATTTTAAAATCTTGAAGCTATTAAGAATTCAGTTATTTCTTAGTCTTATCAGTTTTACTATTATGTTGAGATTATGAGTTAAGGCATATTTATATATTTTCATATTGCAGATAATCAATTTGAATGTGGCAGTTCAGCTCAGTTGTCAAAAGAGGGTGGGGAAGAGAACCATATTAAAAATATACATTATGCAGATCTTAAAACTTGTTTTAATCTGTTTCTTAAAACTTTCTGTTATGATAGAAGTTTATATGTTGAAAAATTAAAGGTTCCTCTTTTTGTTCTACTTTACTAAATCTGGTCTAAGGCCAAAGTACTGAGTTACCATCAAAAATAATAAAAACAGCAAACCAGAGTAAGGAAAAGCAGCAAATCCTCCCCCCACCCAGGGGCTCCTGGGTAGCTCAGTAGGTTAAACTCTGACTCATTCATTTTGGCTCAGGTCATGATCTCAGGTTATGAGATGGAGCCCCTCATCAGGCTCTGTGCTGGGTGTGGAGCCTGCTTGAAGTTCTCTCTCTCCCTCTCCCTCTGGTCCGCTCCCCCTCCCCCACCTAAAAAACAAAAAACCAGCCTTGATAAAAGGAGAGATAATAGAATGCCATTTCTTTTTCTTATGGTAAAACATCAGGTTAAGTGTCTAGATGGAATTGATTATAAACTTAGGCCCTAGACCATGTGCATATACCTTTTAAAACTAGTTTTCTGTAAATTACAAGGAAAAACTGTTACTCTGAAATTTGGCTTTAATTAATTGACTGTGTACACACTGCACTCTTAAACTCAGAGTAGGAAGTATGCTATCATATAGAGAATTTTATTTTGTGTTTTTAAGAATTCCTCATGTTCAATATGGTGCCATATAACTGACAAATATACTTTGTAACTCCTAAATTTTTGAAGTGGAGGAAAGTTCCACAATTATTAAATAAAAATTATAGCTCCTAACCAGGTATTCTTTGGAGGAATAGCTTGGTATTAAAACAATGACAACAAACCCGCAAGAAGCTGTGAGGATTTTGTGACCTTTTGTGACTTTTTTGTTAAAATAGCTGTGTTCTCATTTCTTTTTTTTTTTCTTGGTCACTTTTCCATATTATTTTTATTATATTTTGGCATGATGACCTTTACCTATATTTGTTAACCAATGTTTTTCTCCTCGCCCAGGATACTCTATAATCCTTTATCAGAGGTGTTATCCAAGTACGAAATATACAGGAGGCCTGCAGGGAACCAGGAACAATAACATAAAAAGGCCTGCTTCCCCCTCAGCCCAACAGCGAGTCTGTTTTAGCCTTTTTTTAAAAAAAATGTGAAACACCTAAAGTTTCTTCTTTGCTCTGTTTACAAAAACAGACCAGTACTGCATCTGTGGGAAATTGCTACTCTTCACCTTCCCGATTCTAATCTTGAAGCAAATGCCGTATTATGGGTTTTGTCACTAACAGTAAGGAAAACAATTTTCCTTAATGGATGTTAGAAAAGAAGAGTGATGGGGGTGCCTGGGTGGCTCAGTTGGTTAAGCGTCTGACTCTTGGTCTCATCTCAGGTCTTGATCCACAGTCATGGGTTCGAGCCCCGAGTTGGGGTCCACACTCATAATCTACCCAAATTGGACCTAGCTGCCCTCCTTTCAGCAACCTTCCAATCTGGTGAGCTGCCCAGGTCCTTCAAAACAGGTCAAGAGGAAAGTGGGTCTGACAATCACCGACAACATCTTAGCAGGAATTTGTCAGAAACCTTTGCATTTGCTTTTCAAAAGGTCTGTCGATTAAGGGTCCCCAAGTAGTACATCTTTTGTGGTGAAATTTTAGTAATTACTTTTGAAATATTCCAGAGAACCTTGGGAGTTTCACTGCAGCAGTGATTCTCCTCTGTCTACCTGATAGGATATTTGGATCTTATCAGTAGTTCTTCAAGGTACATGCACATTTACTCAAAAACTGTACTTTATTTTATATTAAAATCTATGTGTCAATATTTATAGAAGTTAACACATCCAACTTGTGATAGCCACATCTACTGCCTTGCCATTTGTATGTGATGGATCTCTAAGATTCATGCATTCAGATTATTATTGTACCTTGAATCTTACCCCCAAATAATTAATGTTTAGTTTTCCTTTGTTTTGTTCAGATTTTCACAATAAAGCACATGTTCTAAATATGTGAAGCTATATTTGATTTTCATAAACTAAAGACTTAAGTGGGGAATTACTTTCATGAACATTGCTGGAAATGTTGAATTCTGTTCATTTCAAAGTGACAGGGTTATTACTTTGACGTCATCATATATTCATTAAGTCTTTGGAAGAATTTAAAAATAAGACATATACTGTTTCCAGCTTGGTGGTAGGCCAGCATACCTTCCCCTCATGATGAAAGCATCTTTGTAGGAACTCCCTTTCCACTGTCTTGAGATTTGTTTTGTCAGACATCTGTTGGGCTTTCCCTACATATGTCGTGGAGAATTTAATCTTGTTTATTACCATCATATAGTCATTCAAAGTCATTATAAAAATTTGATCAGAATTTCAGTTGTTTTGTTTTGCAAGAATGATTTTTAGCTTGTTTTCTTACAGATATGCTGTTTTCTTCATGTTGAGGTACACACTAAGGGTCAATAAATCTTAGATGCTCAGTGTAGTGAATTTTTACATATACATTTATACATCTGGGTAACTACCACTCAGATCAAATTATAGAACATTTCCGGAACCCCAGAAGGCTTTCCTGTATCTGCTTTCAGTTGACGTCCCACCAAGGTAACCCATACCTTGACGTAATTTAGTTGTACAGTCTTTTGAATTTCATATAAATGAGATTATGCAGTCTGTATTCTTTTGGGAATGGTATTCTTTCTATTTAATAATGTATCTGTGATATTGAGGTTGTTGCATGTGTCAGAAGTTTATTCTTTTTTATTGTACAATTTTTCATTGTAGATACCACAATTTATTCATTTATTCTTTTGTCAGTGAACATTTGGATTGTTTCCAGTTTTATACTATTATCAATAATGCTACAATGAATATTCTCTTCTAAAAGGGTTATTTACACTCATTTTTTTGGTGCTCATTTTTCTTGGGCTGTTGAATTTCCAAGCCATAGAGTTCATGTATATTTAGCTTTAGTAAACACTGTCAGTTTTCTAAAGTGGTTGCACTGATTCCCACTCCTACAAGCAATGTGGGAGAGTTCTCTTGCTCCACATTCTCATCAAAACTTGGTGCTGTCAGTTTTTTAAGTTTTAGTCATTTAGAAGTATCTCATTGTGGTTTGACTTTGCATTTCCTTGATTACTAATGATGTTGAATACCTTTTCACATGTGGGTTGGCAATTTGGATCTTCACTTTTGTGAAGTGCTTAAATATTTTGTTCATTTTCAAATAGAACTTTCAATATTTTTCTTTCTAATCTGTGAGAGTTCTTTGTATATTCTGGATATGATACATGATCAGATATATGTATTACAATAGTCTATGGCTATTTTTCATTCTTTTAATATTGTCCTTTGATTTATAAGTATTTTAATTTTAATGAAGTCCGGTTTATCGGTTTTTTGTAATTGGTGCTTTCTGTGTCCCTTTAAGAAATCTTTGCTTCCTCAAGTTCATGAAGATCTTATGTTTTTCTGTAGTCCTTTATTGTTTTATCTTTCACAGTTAGGTTTGGTATCATCTCTAATTTATTTCTCTGCATGGTGTGAGGTAAGAGTCAAGGCTCAGTGTTTTCCTGTGTGGAGATCCAGTTCACCCACAAACATTTACTGGAAAGACCATCCTTTTCCCACTGAATTACAGTGGCTCCTTTGTGGTAAATAAGAGGACCACATATGCACAGGTCTGATTTTGGACTTTCTATTCTGTTCCATTGACCTCTTTATATGTGCGCTAATCCCACATTTTAAAAATTTCTGGTATCTGATAGTGTAGTGAAGCCTGTCTTCGTTTTTGCCTTTACTATTCTAGTTTTTTAGAGTTCCATATAAATTTGAGAATCAGCTTGTCAGTTTCCCATATGCTGTTGGGATTTTAATTGGAATTGTACTGAATCTAGGGATAAAATGAGAATTGATGTCTTAACAATATTGAGTTTTCCAGTGTAAATACTTGGTTTATCCCTTCAGCTATTTAGGACTTTAATCTCCCTTGGCAGTGTTCTCTAATTTTCAATACAGTGATCTTGATGAGATGCTTGGTTTTTATAAAAATGACTATGATTTTGGGTAAAAATTTGGTAATGTTTACAAAATATCCAATTTTACTATCATTTCAGACTTGCAGTCCTGTTAAGATCTCTGAGATAGGAATTTCCAAAGTAGCTAAGTAATCTCTAAAATTATTCAGTACTACAATTTCACATATGTATATTACAACTTTTAAATATGATTAAGTGGCAGTGCTATTAGAATCTGATTAATTTTTCTAGTTACGTATATTTAGATGATGCCCTGTCACCACCCCTGAAGTTCATGATACATTTGTTCTGGAGGCAAGGAAGCTTGAGATCAGGGTTTCAGCATAGCCAGGTTCTGGTGAGGGCTCTCCTCCTGGATTCCTTATATGGTAGGGAGTGGAGGAGCTCCTGTTTCTCCATCCCCCTGTAAGGACACCAGTCCCATCAGGAAGGCTCCACTTGTATGTCCTCATCCAAACCTAAAGGCCCCACCTACAAATACCATCGCATTGGGGATCAAAGCTCCAACATATGAACTTTGGGGGGACACATTCAGTCCACAGCAGTCCTCTTCCAATCTAAAGTTTAATATCATCTGGCAAGAAAACCTTAATCAAATCTGTGTTCAAATATAGTATTAGTTCATTTGTTTTAATATTAGAACATATTTTGAATATAAAAATTTAATGATGTTAAAGCTAGATAATTTTCTAATTTCAAAAATGTATAGCAACAATTAGAAAGAGTAATATTGTAATAATAATAATAATTATAGCTAACACAAGTGTTGACTCTGTACCAGGCATATGTAATCCTCACAAACATACTCTGAGGTGGGTAATATTCTTATCCTTGATCTATACAAATTTAGTAAAATGGTTTATTATTTTCATTTTATCTTAAGTTTCTAATTGTATTGTCTGATTCAAACTTATTTGAAAAAATAGATTAAAAATGCAGTGCACATCTTCAATTTTTAATTTTTTTAAATAGAAAGTCAGTGTCCTTTACTGAGAACAGAGGGACATCAGTTTACCCAGGACAACAGAGATAAGCTTGAAGTTTCAGGTAAGCATTATAATCCTTTGCAAAGAAGTGTTTTATGAAATTCTCACCATATGTGTATTATATCGTAAGTGATTTTTTGACATTGTAATTTAAGATGATAACATCAATATGAGAAATTAAAAAGAAAGAAGATAAATGATGTGGAAAAAAGTGTTAAGAGCAGAGTACTATATTAACTAAGAACAGCTCAGCTTCTTGGAGGAAAAAAAAGTTATTTAAAATTATAGAAGTGTTGTATCCATTGTAGAAATTTTGAAAAAAGAAAAGGAAATTTATGAGAAAGTACTCACTACCCAAAGATAGCCAGGAGTCCCATTTTGGTGTACCATTCCTCTTTCTTTCTCTGTCTTCCTTTCTCCTCCCTCTCTTCCTCTCTCACACACATACATGTAATCATTAATACATATATTGAATTTGAAATCAAAGCATTGCCTCACGTCAATATATATTCTTCTAAGGCATGATTTTTTTAAAAACAAGACTGCTTAAATTTCAATTCAATTGCTGTCATATTTTTTACTTAACTGTTTTTCTGTCTTTAAACATCAGAAATGCTACAATGAGCTGCTCTGATTATTTTCTTAGGATAATTGCTAGGTCAAAGAAAATTAATATTTGAGTCTTTTGAAACATATTTCATCCTCCTGTATACATACTAAAAGGAGAAAATTGAAATCAAGTAAGGACAACAAAAAAAGTCCTATTTAAAGATATCAGTATCTTTGTGGGTTTCCTAAATTTAACAAAACTACTGGATTAAATCATTTGTCACATTTTACAGGTTTTGACCTAGGAGAGAGCTTTTCTCTGAGACGTGCATTTTGTGAAGGTGATAAAACCTGTTTCAAATTGGGAAGTGCATTTCTTATTAGAGATACCATGTAAGTAAAATCATTTTTCTTTACATTTTAATAATACTATACAAACTATTTTCTAAGGAAATTCCAAATAATTTGTTTAAAAAACAAAGATTTTCTCAATAGTATTGTACTTACTTGAATGCTGTGGTAAGTGAGTTGTTTTTATATTTGTTGTTTTTAATAATCTTTGCAATCTGATCTCATTCTATGGTATAAATGCCATTCACCAATACAGATACAGGTGTAATCTTTGCAGAATAGTAATTAAATCCATTTTTTTAAATTTTATTTTATTATGTTATGTTAATCACCATACATTACATCATCGGTTTTTGATATAGTGTTCCATGATTCATTGTTTGCGTATAACATCCATTGCTCCATTCAATACGTGCCCTCTTTAATACCCATCACCAGGCTAACCCATCTCCCCACCCCTCCCCTCTAGAACCCTCAGTTTTTTCTCAGAGTCCATAGTCTGTCATGGTTCATCTCCCCCTCTGATTTCCCCCCCTTCATTCTTCCCCTCCTGCTATCCTCCTCTTCTTTTTTTTAACATATAATGTATTGTTTTCTTCAGAGGTACAGATCTGTGATTCAACAGTCTTGCACACTTCACAGTGCTCACCATAGCACATACCCTCCCCAATGTCTATCACCCAGCCACCCCATCCCTCCCACCCCCCACCACTCCAGCAACCCTCAGTTTGTTTCCTGAGATTAAGAATTCCTCACTAGAGGGGCGCCTGGGTGGCTCAGTCGTTAAGCGTCTGCCTTCGGCTCAGGTCATGATCCCAGGGTCCTGAGATCGAGCCCTGCATCGGGCTCTCTGCTCTGCAGGAAGCCTGCTTCTCCCTCTCCCACTCCCCCTGCTTGTGTTCCTTCTCTCGCTGTATCTCTCTCTGTCAAATAAATAAATAAAATCATAAAAAAAAAAAAAAGAATTCCTCACTAGAAGGTATTATGCTAAGTGAAATAAATCAATCAAAGACATGTGTCATATGATCTCACTGATATGAAGAATTAAATCCATTTTGAATAAGTATTATTTATGTTTAAAATAGGTATAACCAAAGTAAGATTTTCAAATGTGAACTTTAAAACATAAGACGCAATGTAGAGTTAGAGACAAAAGACTGGTATTTATTGTAATCATTTCTACATTTATTATGCTTCATGATAAATTAAAACAAAAGAACATAGCCCTTAGGTATTCCTCTTCTATATTGTGTAGAACACATAGTAACATAAGATGATAATGTGACTATAAGATGGTCTTGATACACATTGTATTTCAAAATTGAGTTACCTGAGTTTTCCTTTGTTATCTTTACTATTCATTTTCTACTGATAAGCCTGAGATTAAAAAAAAAAAAGTATCATGTGCCATTAAATACTGACATTGGTCAGCAACTATACAGGACAATAATACTTCCCCCTATGGTCTACATGTGATTGGAGGATGGTTACAGAGTAATTCAGAAAGCTTGAGTCATCCAAAAGGCAGATAGAACATATATGGTCATGATATTTGGTCTTTGAGTCCAAGATGAACATTCCAGTTTATGAATACACTGCAGTGAAAAAGCATTAAAACTCTGGTTTAATACCCAACACAGATGTTTTTGTGTGAAAGCATATATGGATGTTTTCACTTCTTGATGAGGAGCCTAATATTTAGGTTACCAGACAGGGTTGTTGAGAATCTTCGCATTTGAATTCTCAAAGGGAAATAGCATTAGTCATCTTGTTGCCTATCCTCAGATGCTCTGTGTAAACTAGCTCCCTCACTCACTTTTTCCCTGAGAAAACTTTCTTTTAAACCTTCTATTTTGTGATACTTTAGATGCATTTAGTTTAATGATGTGGTTCCTTAAAAGTAAACTGCCCATTAATTGGTAAGAAATAAGAGTGTTAAGGAAGAGAGTCATCTGCTCTTGGGGCTAGGATGGGTGATCATCAGGTGGGGCATTTCAGCAGATAGGGCTGTACAGGTCTGTGCTGCTGTGGGCAACCTTCAGGCGTCTTCATACGTAGGCATTAAACCCTCAGCGTACAACAGGTCTGTGTTTGGCTATTCATATCCGGTAAAGAAAAGTCAATATGTATCTCTTATATAGAGAGATTTAGATGTTTTTTAACTAGTAGTAGATAACTTTAATTAAAGAATTTAAGAACGGCAACAAATTCTGTTCCAAAAATTAAGGTGCATTTTCTTTCCTGCCTTCTTCCTGACAATTTAAACTCCTGTAACTCTGTCCATGTGGCTAAAGGATTGGAGGGAAAACTTTAAAATTCACTGGAACTGAATATAAGAAGATTTAGCAAATTTTAAGTAGTTACCCTGGAAATCTTGCTGTCACATTTAGGCAATGCTATTCCCCTTTGAATATGTGTGATAATAGATATCAGCCACAACCTGACACTTAGTTTCCAACCTTTAGCTCTAAATCATTGCATGATCCCTGGGCTATCAATGTAAGTAAATTCCCTGGCTCTGCAGAGCAGAACCCTGGTACCTCTACTACAGGAAACTGGAGGGTATCTGGTTAAGCTGACTAACCAGTGTCAAGTAGCTTGGCTCATCTCCATTTACATTTCACTCATTGAGCCAAGTATGGTAGGATGCTTCTCTTGCATGATGCCATTTTGATTTTTCAATGAGACTGGAGTAAAGTTGCAGCTATTTATGTGTTTGTAAATAGGCTGCCTTGCAGAATCAGTATGGGAAAAGGCACATGCTATTTTGTATGAAAAGTGAGGATTCTTGCTGTGCCTGAGATGATTGTTATAGTTCTGTCATCTTCCAGGTGAGATTCATGAGGGGAGAGATTTAAAGAGCATGTTAGATACTTTTGGGTACCCTCAGTGCCTTGAGCCTGGCTTAATATGGGAATCCCAAGGGCGACTCTTGAAAGGGCCCTTCAGATAAACACTATTATACACTCAAAGGTGACACTGGCTCAAGGAACATCTGAGGGGCTTTATATGTTTTGTTTTATTTTATATTTGTGTCCATTTCTTCATTTCCTTGGAATAGCAAATGAAAGTATTTATTAAAAGATTCTGGGTGGTATGCTACCTAGTTTTTTGGAACTATCTTTTAGAGGAGATTTCCTTGGCTTCTTGTATCTCCAAGTTTCCCTGTCTGTGCAAAAGAAATAATTCATTATTTCTATATATATTGAGAGCTGTATCCCAGATAATCATAACTCTGATTATCTTTAAATTGTGTTTTGGCAATTATCAGGGCAAAGTGGTGAGGTTTTGCACACAAAACATGCACATACTATGGAGCTCCTTATTTTCTTGGTATAGTATAGTTCTTATCTTTCTTTAGTTGCTTCCCAGAAACATGTTTTAAATAAAAATGTCTCAAATAACAAAATAAAAATGTCTTAGTAGTTGAATATTTTAGAAAAGCTGATAAATGTTGAATTCCTGTATACTGTTGATTCTGAAGGGGCAACACTCCCTTTTTTGACTTGCCAATGGGGAAATCATTTGATTTCAAATGTAGCAGGGAAGTTAATTTCCTTGATTTATTATTGAATTCAAGGATAGTAAAGAGCCTTATTTCTTAAGTTCTGTGACTGATAGCTAGTGGCTCGAGAAGGATTCTGAGGCCATATTAGGTTCAGCAGATTAGAATGCTGTGACCCATTAGCAAAAAGAGGGAAGACAGGAGAGCTTATACGTGTTTCCAGTCGGTAGTCTCTCTGACTTAGGATGATTCCTGTGAGTTGGTGTCTTTTGCAACTGAAACAGTTCCTAAGAGTGAGGGGAAATGAGGCTATGTGTGAAAAGATAATCAAAGATAATCAACACAGATTAACTTTAATAAGATTTTATGAGCTTGCATAGTATAGCTAGACACAGTGGCATAATTGACAGATATGGTCCCCTTAGCTTGTGTTGCAAATAAATAAATCTCCAGTGAAGAGGAATCTTCTCTCTCTCTCTCTTTCATTAAATTAGTTGTTGCTTTCTGGAAGCAAGGGCTATTTAGTTTCACAGCTTTACATGGGAAAAAAAGAGCTGGTAGGAGCTATTTTCATTTGCATTTTATGTTTTTTAAAAAACATCATAACCCTCCATAAGTAGAAAATGCCAAATTATATATTTGTAAGATTGGTAGTGTTTTTTAGGAGTTGTTCAAGTTCTCTGAACCTTAACAGTTCCCTTGGAAATAATCTTAAATGTGGGGAAAGCTGCTTTGCATATTGTAGCATGATCTATACCTTGTCTGTACTAGTGTTGAAAGACTCACTCCATGCTCAGGTCTTTTCTACATGAACCTTTACATTACTTCCAGATTTTTATCATTATAAATAATGCCACAACATCTAGGAAAGTTGTTTTTCTCAGTGTTTAGAATTATTTACATAAGATTGATTTTTCACAGTGGAATTACTAGTTCATTTTTAGACATCTGGATATATACTTCTAATTATGTTTCATCATTGTTTTATCCTTCTATTCTGTATAATACCCAATGTCTTCAGTAGCATTAGACATTATCATTTAAAGATTTTGACGTTAAGTTTTGTTTTTTTCAACTAAAGGCTTGTAGCAATTACAAATAAAAGCTGTAGCTTACTATATAAGTATTAGGGGTTCCTGAAATATTTCTGTTCTGCTAAAGGGTGAATAAGAGGTAACATTCAATAGTCACTGTAGTGAATGCAGGGTAGTATAGAGCTCCCCCATTTTTAAAAAAGATTTTATGTATTTATTTGTCAGAGAGAGAGAGGCAGACAGAGGGAGAAGCAGGCTCCCCACTGAGCAAGGAGCCAGATGTGGGACTCGATCCCAGGACACTGGGATCATGACCTGAGCCAAAGGCAGACGCTTAACCGACTAGTCACCCAGGCATCCCTAGAGTTCCCCCTTTTTATCCAGTAAGCATTTAGTGAGCTCACTATGGACTGGGCACTTTACTAGGCTCTGGGATTACAATGGTGAAAGAATGTGGATCTAGTCTTGCCTTCTGGAACCTGCTGGAGAGACACATGATGCAA